ATACATGCAGCTTTGAATTTGATAGTGTGAAACAAATAATCCGGAGTACGTTTCCTGTGCATGTGGATACAATGCGGTTAATTATGATGCAAAATCTCTCACCACGCACAGAACCACGCTTGTAAGCTAACGATTTTCCTTCTCCTTCCCTGTCCCTTTCTTTTGAGCCCGTCTCCAACTCCCTCGGATACATTATGGACTCGTTCCAGACTTCTGCGTGCCTATTTATCCAAGATGGCGCAGTTACATTGACTGGTATACCATCAACCAGGCATTGCTACAGTGCTGGTTTTTTTAAATGTAACTGGGAAGACTGTTCTTTGTCTTGATGCATTGCCTTTGATTTCATTATACAGACAGACAGTTTAACTCTTATGATGCATGGGTTTCAGAGGTCAAGGAGCCATGTACCAAGCTTTGGTAAGTCATTTTGCATTATTAATTTGTTACAATCAGAATTTGATTGCTACAAAAAAAATGTTCAGTAATAAAATTCCCTGGGGTGGCAGGGGGACACTGAAGGGAAGTTTGGTGTACTGTCAAGGCCTTCAACCTTCATCCTATTTAATGAAAGTGTATAACCTGAAAATATTTAAGACCTTCAAAACCCTACCTCGTTTGGCGGCACAAACCAGTTTAGGCGAACCAGTTTAGGGACTACTTTTCCCCCCTGGGGTACACCTCAGTATCTTCAGACAGTGGAGTCCAGGACTCCCCTCCTTATGTCAGCATAGCTGTGGGATAAATACATTACAAGCATTATGTTGAAGTTGGGTTGACATTCTTTAAAATACACCTTTAAAGGAAATGTGATTGTTCACATTTCATTGGAAGGCAAAGTTAAAGTGCCATTTATCACTTTTTTGAGGGTCTACAGTAGGGTTCTGAAATCCCTCCTCCCCGCTATAATATTTTTTCTTCTTAATCCGGCTATCCTGCCCTTTATACATCCAAATCTCAATCTTGATTTCATTATTGAAATAAACGTTTATAAGGGTAACCTTCTTGCAGTTAAGGCAGCTTTGATGTTTAACGTTCTTGACTTTACCATTAACGACCATGACCTTATTTTATGATTTGCTTTGTTTTGTCTGCACATCAGTACAAACAAGAAGTTTTACTTCGATCTGAGTCATGACTTTTTGGAAAACAGGTAGTTGAGTTGGGTAGATGGATGTTTTGATTGCTTTACTGCTAGATTCCATCAGGCGATGATGCCAGTTGTCTACATTAACTGCAGGTCATGGAAAATGTATATGAAAAAACACACTGGTTGCACAGACTGAGAAAATGTTGTCTTTTATGGAAACATAAACCTGCTATGGAATCGAACAGCACCACAAATGCAGAGCAGAAAGCAGAAAGTTTGCTTTCCCACCCTTCTTGGACTTGGTCCTTGATTTCTTCCTCTTTTGCAGTGCTACTTGTACCCATTCCTGTTTAAAATCTCTTTATTTTCTTCCTTTCTTAAATCTGCACAAAAATAGGTGCATGGGACCTGCTGTGGTTTGCAAAACAGTCTTTTTTTCCTCTCACAATCAGTTGTAAAAGGTGCAAAATAACGGCATAAACTGATTTCAGCGCAAAGACTGTACAAAACTGCATATTTTTTTGTGTCTCTCCTAAGTCTAACTCTTCATTTTTCGACCTCACTCCAGGCCTCTCCCCTGACCGTTAGCACACGCATTCTTTTCCAAATACAGAAGTAATACCAAAAACATGCAAAGGTGATAATGGAAAATTTGACAGGCTTCATTTCCTTATTGACTACTATAAAGGTGGTCGACACCAAAGAGTCATTTTTTAAAGCCAGTGCTGGTTAATTAAATAAAAATTCCGGTCATGTTAAATCTTAATTCCTGTATCCCGGTTCTTTTCACTTACGATTTCCACATCCCTACCCAATAAAAAAGGGAAATCCCGCTCCTTTTTTTAGCTTGCATCCCGAGTATCACCCCCAAAAATAGCCAAATCCCAAATCCCACCAAACCTATTGTGGACCCTCTACTTTAGGACTGGTCAAAAAGTATAGGCCGTGGAGGGAGGGGGGGGGGCTGGGCGTAGACCAGAGTAGAGAGGGGTTTGATCATGAGGTTTTTAGCCTATGCAAGGCGTGGGTCATGCAATTTTCAGCTACCCTTAGGGGGTGGGTCATCCTATTCTATAACATTGATTGGTGGCACACATTTAAGTCTTGATACTAGCAGGACAGTTGACCACACTTGTTACATAAAACACAGCCGGCTGGAATTTTTGCTAAAATATTCTCCGACCTGTCGTGTCCTTTTTAATATTTTAATAAAAATATGTACAATGGTTGGTTTTTTTTACATTTCATTTAAGTTTGTGGTACCTTAGTGTGGTTTCATACCGGTACCTTATGTTGTTACATATATTCTAGAAAGGAGGCAAAAAAAAAAACACGATAAAATCAGGTATAAATAATAAGCAGAATTTTAAGGCAATTCTAACAAATGTATTCAAAATATCAGAAACTTTTACATGGCAGTATTACATGTATTGCAGTTCAGTCCAAAGACTCATTTATCTCGAGAGAAATTAAATGGACTGTATCAGTGCCTAGATAATGATCTTGACTGATGCCCAGCATAACTTTCCATTCTTGGAGTATCTTTAGCTCAAGCTGCAACTCAAATCTGAAGATCATGTTATCCATGAAAATTCAACATCCTGCAAACAACATTTAGTAGCTGGGCCCAGGGCCTAAATGTAGCAGGAAGTAATCACATTCACCGACAAAGAAACTACATGCATGTAGCTTTTCAGATCAGGGCATTTTGAAGAAAACCAAAGAAACTAAAGTCTTTATTTAGCCATGATAAAAAGCTCTAGGCTTTTAGAGAGGACAAAGAGAATGAGTACTTTACAACTGCATCTGGCCTCAAATCCTATTAGAAACACGCACAGAAGCATAAACCACAGGAAATAATAATACTTAATGTGCTTGCAACAAACCAGCTTGCTGACCTCTAAATGTCAAACTTAGTGCAGCAACAATAAGATTTACTTAGTCAAAGTTTAGAATGCTCCATACACTGTGTAAAAGAGTGCTAGTGACCTATGCGCAAGAGAAAAAAGAAGAAAAACTCTAAGCTCATGTTTCACATTATCATGAGTTTATGAGTCCTGTCTAGCCAGTCAACACTTTTTTCCAACCTTATGAAGTGAGGCAAGAGGCTAGAGATTTATGATTTTGTCATGCACAGAACAAGGTTTTATTGTATTATTAAGAGGAAACCAAAACTCCATGTTTTAATACTAGGGGGTGGGTCATGTAATCTCCAACTTTGCTTTAGGGGTGGGTCAGTCCTTTTTGCTCCAAATGGAGGGGGTGGACCATGTGTTTTTTATCAACCACATCTCCAAATGCTCTGGCCCACCCACCCTATACTGTTTGACCAGTCCCTTTATGCCTATATATTATCTTCACAGTGGCTTTTTATTTTTCCGCTTTTAATTTGTGGTTTCCTTCAGGATCCAAATACAGCTGTAAGGAGTAAAGCTGAACCAATCAACAAAATTAAACTCCACGAAAGTAAAGTATCATTACATGTACCTTCTTTTGTAGTGTTCGTGTCTGCAGTGTTGAAGGATTTTTAGGATTCCTGTGATGTCCAGGCTGATGGAGGTAATAAAAATTCATTATCTGTTAGTTAAAGTGTTGGTCTAATGATGGTTAATTGTTCCTGATATCTTCACTCTTAGAACTCATTGAAAGGCTTCTAAAAGGTTAATGAGAAACTATAAATGTGGTTCCAGATCTTGGGGAAGGAGTGGTGATCCGATTATGTCGGACTCTGGATCAGTGAAGTTCTGATTTTAGCCCAGGCTATCTGTTCCATCACCTGATTTTCTTAGACAAGAAAATATTTCTTACATTACACTCTGTGTACAGTCTTCACCCAGATCATTTATTTTGTGTTTAATGGCAACATACAGCTGTACAGCTGGAGGCAATGCTGTGGTGGATTAGCATCCCATTCTGGGGGTAGTGTTGCTATATTCACTCTTTTGTACTTCATGCTTCTCCAACCAAGATAAGCTCTTGCTGTGCAGGCCTTTTTGCTTGTGATAAATACCTGTCATTGGCATGTTTAGTTAATGAAACACAAAGCTTGCTGTCCAACCGCCGCCCCCCCAAACTCAAGATATTAATGGGTAATTGATATGGTCCACACCTCTCAGTGTAGTACAGTGTAGTCTAACCAGGTGAATGAAGGTGTTGTCAAGGAATTCTTAGCTTAGTAAAGAGCCTCACCTTAGACAAATTTAGACAAATCTGACTGATAGACAGTCCTTGGGTTTCTAACTTAAATACAGTTTCTATGAACTAAGTAACGCGTCTCTAATAAAACCTATTGGTGAATTTATGCTACTCTTCTTTTAGGATTTGCGGTCCTTTCCGAGCACAGCCTCTACATCACAGGAAGACCATCAAGGCAATTCAGGATCCACTTCCGCCCCGAAGTTGAGAGTTACTCTGTTAAGCAGTGAATGGAGGTCATCAAAAGGAGGCTTGTCAACCATCAACCGAGAGCTGGCCATTCAGTTGGCAAAACACTCCAGCGTGGAGGTCAGTGTTTACCTCCCTGAGTGCAGTGAAGAGGATAAACGAGTTGCTGCAAGTCACGGTGTTACTCTGATTGAGGCAGAAAAAAGGCCAGGTTTAGAACCAGCAATCTGGCTGTCTTGTCTGCCAAAAGACCATGCTGTCGATTGTGTGATAGGACATGGGGCCGTTCTTGGTCGGCAAGTACAGATTATAAAACACCATCATCATTGTAAGTGGATTCAGGTCGTTCATACAGTTCCCGAAGAACTTGGAATGTACAAAGGATACGAGGAACGCATTTCCAAAGGTGAGAAAAAGCACCATGTTGAGGTTGAACTCTGTAAACTGGCTGATCAAGTTGTAGCAGTTGGACCCAAGCTGGCTGAAGCTTTCTCAGGTTATCTTCGTCCCTGCGGAAAAGATCAAG